AAAATCTATCCAACAGTCTCCTAACCCTAAGTTTAAGTGTGTGTGTGTCTGTGTACACAAGTCCACGTGCACATAAGTGCACATGCATGGTCTTTCTCTCTCTCTCTCTCTCTCTCTCTCTCTCACTCACACACACACACACACACACACACACACACACACACGTGCCTTCTTAATCACCACCCAGTAACACAGTTCTGAAAAAAGTCTTGGCCTTCCCTCAAAACCTTCAAAAAGAACACCAGAGCCTCCCATCTCCAAGAAACCACAGTCAAAGTGCACTGGGAAAGTTGGTCAGGGAGCCTGTAGTTCTGAACACCCCCCCCCCTTCTTTCTTTCTTTCTTTCTTTTTTTTTTTTGCACATCTGTATTCAATTTTCTGTCCTTGGGGTTTTAAAGGGAACATTTATTCCAGGGCCAGGATTCTCAAGTTTTATGGTTATACAACTCCCTCCCAGGGCCAAAGAATGTTTGAGAAGTCTTAAGCCCAGCAAAGAGAATTAGTAAAACTATCCATATGAAAGTGAAATAGAAAAAGGAAAATTAAGACTTGTTCCAACTGACATTCAACCTCTCACTTTATTGTACAGTATTTCTGTTTGTCCTTCTAAAGGTTGTGGCATGCATTTTTCATGCAAATACAGGTAAAGGGCATGCACACGTATGCCAGGCCTGGAGGGAGAGGGCGCAGGTGAGGACAAAGATGTACAAAGGCGTGTCTTCTATGGTTTCTGTTTTAGCTCTATGGCAATTTTCATCTTAAATTAGGCTACATACTAAACTGGATTAATACAAGTTCAAAGATTTAATAAAAGAAATGTTTATAAACTGTTTAAAATGTTTATAAACTGCTTAGTTTTTCCTACTTAGATAACTGGATACCCTTGATTTTTTAAAATGTTTTTGGTAGTAGATAGCAGTTTAAACCAAAATCAAAACCAAAAGAATATTTTGTTTTTAATCTAAAAAGTTTAATTAGTGACATTTTTTATTAAGCTTTAAGTCAACTTTAAGCCGACTGACAGCTAAAAATCATTGCCAAGAAATAAGAAAGGAATGAGGATAGAAGGAGTCTCCCACCAACCCACGAAATACCAACTTGTTTACAAAATACAACCAAATTCCACATGTCCCTTACCTGCCCTCTTCCATTCTTCCCTTCAAGTCCTCAAATTCTGCACCTTGGTTAATTTGTCCAAGCCTGCCTACACAGGCTCACAGGCCCTTTATAGTCGACTCCTGAAATGTCCCAGAGGCTTCTCCTGCTTCATACACACTCATCTGATCCGTCAGACAAAGCAACACTCAAGCTCTGGGCCTGAGGTTTGCGACACAGCACACACCACCCACATTAGAGGCCTGGATACTGCCCAAGACAAACAAAATGTTTTGGAGAAACAAAGCAATTTGCACTGATCCACCCTCAGCAGAAAAAAAAATGGAACTGGTACTCCTCCATAAAATGACCTGCAATACTGTCAATAGCATCTGCCTCATAGAAACAAATCTCTGAGAACAATTAGAAGAAAAGCAAACTGACCTGGCCCACCCTTCATAGTGCGGGGTCTGCTGCAAACACTCCAGGCCATGACTCCAAAGCTGAGCCCACAGAGCCCTTTCCTTTTTGCACCTACTTTCTTTTATTCTTCTAAAACCAAGCAATCAAAGTGCCCTTTAGCACAGCTTCGCAGCAAAGATAACAGGTTGAAGTTCATATGTTTCCTGCCATAAACCACTCCAATTCTCCCTTGATTAGAAGTTGATAGAACTTAGTTTAGATTCTACAGCTGAGGGGAAAAACTATGATTCTGAAATTAGAATTTTCTTTTAAAACAGTGATTTCTCCATGGAAAATCACCTAGCTTCAAATCAAGTAATCAATATAATTGACTCATAATAAACGTTAAAACCCTGTGGATCTGAGTTCTAGAGCAAATAAAGATGAATCCAGAATAAAAGTAAAGAAAGTAATACTGAAAAATTCTTTCTTCAAAACCCTCAATACATGCATATTGCATGTATATATAAAACATAGATAATATACATACACAATAAAATACACTATAGTCTTACACATTCACACACATTCCTTCATACACACACACACACACACACACACACACACACACACACACACACACACACACACACACACCAACACTTACATCTGGAGCTTTTTAACAAAAGTTAAGGAAATAAGGACACTGTAGTTTCATGCCAGGCCAGTCACAGAAAAGAAATGGATTTTGTTGTTGTTGTTGTTGTTAGTCATGAGGCCTGAACTCTGGGCCTGGGCGCTGTCCCTCAGCTCTTCAGCTCAAGGTTAGCACTCTACCACTTGAAGCACAGCACCATTTCTGGCTTTTTCTGCTTATGTGGTGCTGAGGAATTGAACCCAGGGCCTCATGCATGCAAGGCAAGCACTCTACCACTGAGTCACCTTCCCAGCCCCAAGAAATGGATTTTTAAAATATTATTTTATGATAGATCATCCATAGTCCATGTAAAGAAAAGATGGCAATTTAGCTACCTATACCTTTTTTTTTTTTTACTAACTTAAAATCTGACTCATCAAAATGAGTGGACATAACACACATCTTATAAAAGAAAAAAAACAAACATTGCTTAAATTCATCTAAAATGAGCAGTCTTTGGTCACATGTTCATATCACAAGGCTTGCTAGAAACAATTCCAATGGGCTTTATTAGCCTAAGGAACGGAGCATTCCCAATTAGTATTTTCACAAGAGAAGGGACAGACTGGATTGTTGTTTAAAGAAACATGTATCTTTAAAAGTCCAAAAAGTCTTAAGACTGGGAACCTGAAATTCTAATGTCCAAGGACAAAAAGTAAAGGTGTCCTAGATCCAGCAAACAGCCTTTCCTTTGCCTTTTAGTTTTATCGAGGTCCCTTGCTGATTGGAGAATGCCATCTACAAAGAGAGTACAGCTTTCTCACGTAGTCCATTGAATCACAGGCCAATCTTCTACTTGTACATGCACATGCACATGCACACACAGCAGAAATAATTCCTCACCAGCTACCTAGGATCCTTCATCTAGCCAAGCTGACATCTCAAATTAACCATCACAGATACTCAATGGCAGTCATGAGATGGGCATCCTTGCCTTGTGTCTGATTGATCTCAGGGGAAAGTTTCCAGACCTTTCTTCACTCAATATGATTCAGCTACGGGGTTTTCACTTCTACTTACTTTTTCCTTTTCTCCAAACATGATAGGTATTGGATTTTTGTCTAGTGTTTTCTCAGCACCTATGTTTTCTTCTGGATGCTTTTCTCATATCACCTGCACAACTTGTTATTTCTCATCTTTATAAGATCCCCACCTTGATATATTTCTAGCTCCTACATACCAAAGTCCTCACCCACCACTATGGTGAGTCAACTATGTAAACTTCAAAGTCAGCCATGATCCTTTTATGTATACATTCTAATGACACTTGCAATACAGCCTACTATCTGCTAGCACATATTAATAATTTTAGTTCTCAGAACCATTGTCTACAAGGCACGTACTACCCTTACTATTCTACAGGTGAAGAGACTGACAGACAGAATGTTTATGTGTTTTGCCCATGGTCATTAAGTATAAAAGTGTCTGACACAGGATCTAAACCAGGCCTCCTAAAGCTATGCACTGATGGTTCACACCTTTAATCCTAGCTACTTACAACAATGAGACCTGAGAATCATGGTTTGAAGCCAGTCTGGGCAGGAAAGTGCAAACTACCAAAATGTAAGAAGTGGAGGTGTGGCTCAAGTGGGAGAGTGCCCAGCCCTTGAATTCAAGTTTAATTCCTAGTTAACATTGCACATGCATAAACACACACACACACACACACACACAGACTCACACACATACCAAGACAGGCTACTCAGATCTAGTTACCATTCTCTTACAACATTTGCCATCATGTCTTTCCGTAACTTTTTTTTTTTTCCTGTTTACATACTTATGTTCATACAGGCAATGCTTATCTCATTTATTCTTGCTGTATTCCTAGCATCAAGAAATGCAAGTCTAGCATTCACAAAATGCTGAATGAATGAAGGAACCCTAATCAGGAATGTGACAAAGTTCTACAGAACCATTTTGAGCCTCACTAAACACACAATACCATGTTGATTCAGTTTTAAGGAAGACTTGTTAACTGTGTCTGTGTGTGTGTGTGTGTGTATGTGTGTGTGTGTGTGTGTGTGTGTGCGCGCGTGCGCGTACTGGTCGTAGGCTCTGGTAGCCAGAGCCTAGCCACTATCCCCATGCTTTCTTGCTAAAGGCTAGCACTCTATCACAGGAGCCACAGTCTACTTCCAGCTTTTTGGTGATTAATTGGAGATGAAAGTCTCACAGACTTTCCTGTCTGGACTGGCTTTGAGCCATGGTCATCTGATCTCATCCTCCTGAGTAGTTGGGACTACAGGTATGAACCACTGATGCCTGACAAGACTGTTACCTTTAAGAGAATGTTCCTCAAGCATCCATAGGCACAGATCCATCATCTATCATCTTGTCCTCCCTAAATTAATAACACAAGAACTATTACCCCAGATAACTAGGTCAAAGAGCAAAGTCCTGAAAGTATGACTCTACCCTCATTCTGCAATGACTCTGCTCCTATCTGGAAAGCCTAATTAAGAGTCACTGGCAGCAATTTCAGGGCCATAACTTAATTCAAAAAGTGAACATCTGTTTTAGTTTTCCTTTTTGTTCCTGGAATTCTTAAAAGGTACACTGGGATGCAGGATCACTAAGGAAATAAAAAGATTTTTGTTTTTTTTTAACTGTCGTAATGGTTCTACTGCCCAGTATGTCTGTGGGCATACAGCCCAGTATTGGGCAATTTAAACCTTCTCTGAGCTCTGGTTCATGCGATTCTGACAGTCACCATTTGCAATGTGCCTTAACTTGTCTTCAGAATATAGGCAAAGCCAACAATGCCTTAGCCACAAAACTTGTAATTCTTTCTTAAGAATTTACCTTAGTGCTGATATTTAAATCATGGCTTCAAATGTGGATTAACTTCAGAATCATATTATCTCAGCTTTCGGTGTCTTCAAGCTTCTCTACTTGAACTCTGAAAAAAAAAAAAAGAAAAATCTCTACTCAGAAATCTAAGAAAACTAAAACAAAACCAGCACCCCAATAAAAGATAACCCTTTGTGTCAGCATTCTGGATGGTGTGCTCTGGTGCATTTAGTGTTTTGAAGAGCTGTTTCTCTCTGTTATTTACTCATTTCACTCACTATATTATAGGCAGTAGGTAGGGCACATTTATAAAACTTGTATCCAAAGTATGCAATAAAAACACAAGTTTCTCCCTCTTCAACATCAACTTGGTGAATAAAGTCATTTCTATGGAATGATTCTGCAAAGCTCTTATTTTTCTGTAAATGAAATTTTATATATGTGGCCAAAAGGAAAGAATTATCTTCAGTAAATATAATACTTTCTAAATTCAGACTTATATTAAGATCCAAATAAGAGGTCTTGGGAAAAGGAACTCTGAAACACATGGAGGCCTGGAAAGAAGACTGGGTTGGAACTCATTCGGAAGTTAGATGTGCACATCCAGAAGGAACTAATAAAAGCTCAACTGCTTAGAAAATACTTAGATGCTGGGCATAAAGCAAGACTGGTATAACCTGCCTACGGCATCCAGAAGGAATGATTTGACTAGAATTTGGTCTATGCCATGAATTCCAAATAGAGATCATCTTCAGTGGTTCAACAGCCGGGGAAGAATGGACTAGAATGTTCTAGCATGTACTAGAACATAATAGTTGCCTACATGCATTTCTTCATATGATCTGCTTCAGGGGGTGTTACTGGAATGGAAGATAACTTACCTGTCAGTCAGTCCTCACACTCAAAATGGCTGAGTGGTGTGTGAGCATTCTGAGGCCCCAGCCCTAAGATCCAGATCACTTAGGTTTATTAGCTAGCTTGAGTTAAGGGAAGGTTTGAGGAAACCAAACACCTAATCTACTCTGGTATTTTCTCTGTCTCCTCCCCATGTCTGTTCGGCACTTCCTTGTATAACCTTTGAGAATAGCCAGGAAAGACTTGATATCAGCACAATTGGCCTTAGGAAAGACAGCACCCAGAGACACCAGCACTGTGAAGGACCAGAGCTTGATAGTCCTTGGTTCTTAGTTTTTCAGCACTTGGTCAGAAGCCTACTATATCTGAGCCTACTATATTGAGAGATATTGGATCTCAACTCCAGAACCAGGCCCAGAAGAGATGTATTAGGGAGTCATCTTGTGGTGGGTGAGGGGAAAGGGAAGTTGTTCTATGTGAAATTCCCACTACAGGGTGCAATTCAGACAGGCATTAACTCATCACTTTATGCCACAGATACGGTTGCAATACACACAGACAGCTATTGGGTTTAAATAGACTATTCTTTGTGCCAAAAAAATCATTTTTTTCTCTTCTCCCACAAATCTGTTTATTACTAAAAAGCTTTGGAGCTTTTTGAACTGGGCTAGTTCAATTTGAGTCTACCTCCCCCCCCTGGGGATTCTTTTTAGTATTCTAAGCTGAGGAGGAATTTGTCTGTTTTGGAAGAGGATAATCTCTTACTGTGCCAGCCACAAAGGAAGGTAAAATAAAATTATTCAAAGAGAGCAAAGGCCAAAAGAACCACAAGGAGCCAAGAAGAAAGGATAGAAAAGGAAACACAGGCAGGTCCTCTCATCCTGTTCTCTTCTTTAAGAGTATCACTCTCCACTCAGATGTCACACCTGTATTTGCCCCAAGTCCCTCCAGTGCCCTGAGGGCAGAAGAGTTGCTTTGGGCCTCTACAGCTGCAGATAAAAATGCAGATCATGAGTTCGTGGACTGGGGCAAAGTCTGAAATCTAGACATAAAATGATTTAACTGTAAGAACCTAGTTTGCTCAAAGACAAAGCCAAGTATGGTGGTACATGCTTATAATCCCAGCTGCTCAGGATGTGGAGATAGGAGGACCATAGAGGCCAGCCTAGATAAAAAAAAGAGTTAGCAAAACTATCTCAGCAAGCAAGCCAGGCATAGTACATTTTGAAATTCCAACTACTTGAGAGGTAGAGAGACAGGAGGATCATAGTCCAAAGCCAATCTGAGCAAAATAGTGTTTGGGCATTTGTCTTGACAGCGCTTGGCCTGAACTCAACCCTAGTGCTACCAGGCTGGAGAGAAGCAAAGATCTGGGTCTCACTAGGTAATACAATTTTAGAATGTAGTATATCAATGAGAAAACTAAACAAAATAAACCCAGAAAAGAAGAATACAATCAGAAAAGAGTTCAAATTTAGTGAAAAGTTACCATTGAATAAACTAGTGAAACTGGGCATAAGAGCAGAAAAAAAATGTAGAAGAAAACGAGGCTCTGAAAAACAAATAACCCAAGTGGTTCACATGAAAGGAAAAAGAGAAGGGGGGAAGCTCAAGGGAAGGAGGTCATCTTAGGTCTCCCTTCTGATGATACTTCCCCCTGTTCCAAAGGAACTTTCCCTTGACTTTCACATGATTATCAATTGTTACACGCACAATCTCTGACTAGCAACCACTTCTAGACTAGGAGGTAGCTCATAGTCATCCCAGGATAGAGGTTTAAGGATGAAGTTCCTGGAAGACCTGACTTGTTCTCTGACTGCTTCCATTTACTCCCTAGATACCCAGAGCAAGAAAAGAAAGCATGCTTGATATTTTCATGGAGCCCTGGGCCTGTCTTCTCTATCCTCCTGTACCTCTCAAGATGGCTTTCCAAATTCCACTCAGAAGCCTCCTGTTTCCAGGAGACCCTCCCTGACTGTCTTGCCGCTTCATCGATGACCTCGCACCTCTCCCAAATTTATGACAAATGTCTGATTGTGGAGGAATATTGTCATTGCAACCAGTTCTCCCAGTCTTCAGGGGGTGGGTCCCACCTTCATCCTCACACCAAAACCCATAAATGTTTAAGAGCCTTATATAAGATAGTGTTCACATATAACCTACTCATGCTCCTGAATACTTGAAATCTCTGGATTGCTTATGATAAAATTCCTAATACAGTATAAATGTTATCTAAATTATGCAGCGCAAAAAGTTTTTATATTTAATATTTAGAACACAAGGACAAGAATACTTTTACATGTTCAGATCAGATATAATTTTCTTCTTGCAGTATTTTTGATCTGACAGGAAGTGTTTGAATCCTAAAACATGGAACCCATGTCTCAGCTTCCAGAAATGGATGAGCCACAGCAATAAAAATAATACTCATAAAAATAATAATGATGGGGGCTGGGAAGGTGGCTCCGTGGTAGAGTGCCTGCCTTGCATGCACGAGGCCCTGGGTTCGATTCCTCAGCACCACACAAGCAGAAAAAGCCGGAAGTGGCACTGTGGCTCAAGTGGTAGAGCACTAGCCTTGAGCTGAAGAGCCAAAGGACAGTGCCCTGATCCATAGCTCAGGCCCCATGACTGACAAAAATAATAAAATAAACAAAATAATAAATAAACAAATAAATAAAATAATAATGATGAAGATAACAGTATCATTCTTATTTGAATATTTGTAAACAATAACAAAATGTCCCCAGTTACTCAGGAAGCTGAAATCTAAGTATCCAGGTTTGAAGCCAGCCTGAGTACAAAAATCTGTGAGACTCTTACCTCCAATTAACCACCAAAAAAATAAAAAAATAAAAATGGAAATAAGGAGGTAAGCTCAGCTGGTACAGCACCAGCCTTGAATCAAAAAGCCAAATAAATGTGGAGACCTGAGTCCAAGTTCCAGTACTGTGGCCTCTAAATTAACAAAACCATTGGTGTGTAGAAAGAAACTCGGTGTTGGGTGGAGTCAGGTAATGACCTGTAGACATTATTGGGACTTAACCCAGTTTAACAGGAAATCCTTTTCCCTGCTTCTCCCATGTGTGCTTCAGGCTTAGTATCCTGCCACCATTAATTCTAGCTCCAAAACAGTGGATAGATAAAACCAATTACTAAGCAATAGGATTGTCACAGGAAGGAGAGAAGGCCAGTGGCAAGGAGCAAGGGCAAAGTGGAAGAGTGCCATTGAGAGACAAGCAGGGACCCTGAGAGGTGAACTGTGGTGCCTTCACACCGTGGAAAAGACATGTCTCAGTGACACTCAGGCTGGCTGGGCTTCATCTAGGCATCGTGTGACAAAGAACAAACAATACAGCATTTTGTGAGTCTCAACCACTGGGACATATTCTATGCCATCATTCACAGGTGATTTTGTAATCCTAGACTTGTAATAATTTCACACTAAGATAGTACAGATAGATAGATGATAGATGGACAGACAGACAGATAGACAGATAGATAGATAGATGATACATAGACAGATGAATGTTTTCCTACAGCTAGCTTTTTGATTAAATAAATGTGGTTTTCATTAAGAAGGATGAATTCAATTGAACTGGCTCAGCCTCTCTGCCTTTCCTCTATTAATCTAGAAGAACTATATTTCATAGGCACCTGTTGCTCTAAGATCAGACTAGGGGGTTTACTAAGCAGGAGTCTTCTCTGGCTTATATGTTTGTAGTGTGTCACAGGTATATGCCCAGTGCTCAACAGATACTGCCTGGAATTAGTGGGCAGAGGGGTGGCTTGTCTTCTCTGGAAGGGCTTCCAGCTCTAGCACTCCATGAGCTGCAAGGAGATAGTCACAGTCAAAATAGCAACTGACGTGGAGGACATGTGAAGGAGAGGGAGCTAAAATAGCATGACAATCCTCCCTGGTGAGTGCAGAAACTCCCCCACTGCTCTGTCCTTGGGGTTAGTGTCCTACAGGGACATGATCCCTACTTGATGGGCTCTTTGCTGCTATTCAGTGGCCTTCCTACACAGGTTCATCAAGGAAATGTCAGACCTTGTACATTTCCAAATGTGCTTTTATAAAAGCCTTGGAAAAGATTCCACTTCAACGTTCAAAGGATAATGGGCATTATCCCAAATCACAGTGCAATAATTAAGTTAATGAGCAGAACTTAATTCTCTCATGAAAACACACACACACACACACACACACACACACACACACACACACACACACACACACACATACACATACAC